CAACTTGGCGAGACCTCATCTCTACAATAAAATCAAAAATTAGCTGGGCATGGTAGTGCGCGCCTGTAGTTCCAGCTACTTGGAAGGCTGAGGCGGAAGGATCACCAGAGCCCAGCCGGGAGCGGCCAGAGCCCAATAGGTCGAGGCTGCGGTGGCCGGGAGCGAGCCACTGCACTCCAGTCTGGGTGACAGAGTGAGAATCCAACTCAAAAAAAAAATGAATAAAACAGGCTGGGCATGGTGGCTCTCGCCTTTAATTCCAGTGCTTGGAGAGGCTACAGTGGGGTCGCTTGAGGCTAGGAGTTCGAGACCAGCCTGGGCAACATAGCGAGACCTTGTCTTTACAAAAATAAAAACAAACAAAAAGATGATCTTGGTGTGGTGGTGTGCACCTGTTGTCCCAGCTACTCAGAAGGCTGAGGCAGAGGGATCACTTGAGACCAGGAGTTCAAGGCTGCAGTGAACTGTGATCACATTACTGGCGTGTCCAGCACTCCAGCCTGGACAACAGGGCAAGACCATATCTCTGAAAAAAAGAAAGAAGGACAGCGAGAGAATGAACAAAACAAGAAGGTGTTTTTTTGTAACACAACACAAACTTGGCACAGAATTTTACCACAAAATACCATTAAGGCCAGCTGTGGTGGTTCATGCCTTGAAATTCCATCAGTTTGGGAGGTGGAGGCAAGAGTATTGTCTGAGCCCGGGGGTTTGAGACCCTGACAGGACAACTTGGTGAGACCTTGTCTCTACAATAAATCAAAAAATTAGTTGGGAGTGGTGGCATGCGCCTGTAGTTCCAGCTACTTGGAAGGCCGAGGTGGTGGGTTCACCTGAGTCCTGTGGGTTGCATTCCAGCTGGGACAACAGAGTGAGACTCCAACTCAAAAAAAATAAACAAATAAAAGAAAAATGAGTATTTGGTGGAGGCAAAACATACGTAATTCTCTAAGTGAATACAAGACCCAAGTGCCCAGGGCTCCATCTCTAAGCCACGGGGAGTATAGTGTGCCTCCCCCCCGCCCCCAGTCACTCTGGAGAGATAGAGGGTGGGGGTAGGGTGGGAGAAGCCAGGGTCACTCCCTCTACCCAGGCAGGAATTGCTGGGGGTGCGGATCTTCTGAGCAGGGAACTCAGGGGATGCTTTGCTCATAAGTTCACCTCCCTCAGAGCCACCAGAGACAGTCTCCGCCCAAATGGAAATGACCGTGACAGTGACCAGTGAAAAATTCACGGAAAAACTACAAGACAAATCTTCTGAAGAATTCCAGAAGTTCAATAAGACATTCACGGACCAGGTAAGTCTGGGAGGTAAGCCTGTGGCTGCTCAGTCCCTCCCAAGGAGGAGCCTGTAGGAGTTAAGAAAGCAACTGAGCCAGGCATGGCGGCTCATACCTGTAATCCCAACACTTTGGGAAGCAGAGACAAGAGGATTGCCTGAGTCCAGGGGTTCAAGACCACCTGGGCAACTTGGTGAGACCTTGTCTCTACAATAAATTTTTTTGAAAAGTTAGCCAGGCAGGATGGTGTATGCCTGTGGTTCCAGCTACTTGGTCGAGGTTGCAGTAGCTACAAGCATGCCACTGCACTCCAGCCAGGGCAACACAGTGAGACTCCGACAAGAAAGAAAGAGCGAAAGAGAGAAAGAGAGATAAAAAGAAAGAAAGAAAGAAAGAGAGAAAGAAAGAAAGAAAGAGAGAGAGAGAGAAAGAAAGAAAGAAAGAAAGAAAGAAAGAAAGAGAAAGAAAGAAAGAAAGAAAGAAAGAAAGAAAGAAAGAAAGAAAGAAAGAGAGGGAGAAAGAGAGAGAAAGAAAGAGAGAGAGAGAGAATGGAAGGAAGGAAGGGAGCAGCTGAGGGCCATTCTCTTGTTGGATGTGTGCGAGTTTCTCAGCTCACCCATGGCCTCAGGGCTTGCCAGGGAGGGAGGGGAAGGATGAAGACAGGTTTACCTGGGGGCAGCAGGGACTCCAGGGGCAAAGCAGGTATCTGGGAAGGGACCACCCCATTCAGTGAATGTGCTATGGCCGGCTCGGGACATGGACCTGGGGATACCGTAAGAGAGGGGAGCTCTCGTCCGCCCTCCTGCTGTCCCACAGAAAGTCCTGGTTGGCTCCATGACGGGTCTTCTGGGATAACACCGAGGCTCTTTGCCTTTCAGATGAACATTGTGTATTCCAGTATCCCCGAGTATGCCGGAGTGAACATCACAAAGCTGAGGTGAGTGTCTGGGGTCCATAGGAAGAGGGTCTATGGCGTGGAAGCCATGATTGTAATTATAAAGGCAAGTCGAACTCTGTCCCCTGTTACTCTGCTCAAGCTGCCATTGCAGAATACCACAGACAGAGTGGCTTACTCAACGGAAACTTATTTCTCACAATTCTGGAGGCTGGAAGTCCCAGATCAAGGGGCCACCGGGTTTGGTTTCTCCTGAGGCCTCTCTTCTTGGCCTGCAGACGGCCACCTTCCCGCAGGGTCCTCACATGGTCTCTGTCTGCACGCGCATCTCTGATGTCTCTGTGGGTGTCCAGATTTTCTCTTTCTATATGGACACCAGTCAGATTGGATTAGGGCCCAACCTAAGGGCCTCATTTTAACTTAATCACCTTTTTAAAGACCTCATCTCCGAACACAGTCACATTCTGAGGTCCGAAGGATCAGGGCTTCAAAATGTAAACTTGGTGGGACGCAATTCAGCCCCTCGACAATGAAAATTTCACATACAGTTGCCTTAACCACCCTGTGAGGGAGGCGATTAGGGCTGTTCCCATTGTGCAGACGAAAAACCTGAGGCTCAGAGAGGCAACGGCTTGCCTGAGGGGTCGGTTAAAGAGCCAGGATGCAAACAGAAGTCCTGTTACGTCAAGGACAGACCAGCAAACCAGAAAACCTGGAAGCTTCCGCTTAGTCTTCAGAGATAAAGCCAAATAATTTAGCATGAGGAGGGAAACCCCCAAGGGAAAAGATTTCCAAGTTCACGATTGTCCTGTATTCACTGCCACTCACCCCCAGTGGGATTCTGCCCTCATAGACACTTGGCCCTAGAGTCGGCCCCAACTTTTTGGAACCCTTTGAATGGTGCTGGCCAGCGAGGGTTTGCATGGCCCAGCACCCAAGCAATGGTGGAATTCTCTAAGGCAATAGAAGACCTGAGTTCCCGGGGGCTCTGCCCCTAAGCCATGAGGAGAGCAGTGTGCCTCACTCGGAGAGAGAGGAGGCCAGCGGTCTCCCCTGGATCGTGAGGGAAATATCTCCTATGGTTTACCAAAGTCACGATTGATCATTTTCAGAAGGCTTTTACAATCCATAGGAACACAGAATCGCACAGAAAGCACGGAGAAATGGTGTGAGTTGTCCAGCCTGTTTCCTTCTCCCTACGTTCTATCTGACATGAAACCTCCTCTGTCTAACAAGAGAGGCTGCCCTGGGAAGGATACAGGCGGGGTCTCCAGGCTCCTCCCCCTCTTGGTTCACAGCAGGTGTCTTAGTGGCCCTTTGACTGTTCTTCAGAGCTCCTCTTCCGAGAAAGGCAGATTTATCCACTTCCGCTGTCTTAGGATTGGCGTAGGCTGACCTCACAGGACTCTCTTTTGTCCCTTAGGGGGCAAGAGGGTTTGTAGGGCCGGTCCTACAAACCCTTCCTTTTATTTTCCACCCATCCTTCTCTGTCTCTCAAAAGGGAGGGGGATGGACAGACTCTCAGGACACTGAGCCAGGGGCCCGACTTTCCCCGTCCCACCCCGACGGACCCAGGGACCGTCCTCCTGCAGCCCTGTCTTGTCAGACTTGCGTACCCAGCATTCCATCAGCCCCACCTTCCCAGGCCAGACAGAAGGAGTTGGGCCCTGGGGACTCCTGGAAGACACAGCAGGAAAGTCATCCTCATCCAGAGAGTGGCTCCAGGGAGGACTCGGGGTGGGCAGATAGGAAGTGAGAATCATCTGCTTCCAAAGCCTGGAAGGAAGGGCCCTGATACCATTGATCTAGGCCAGCCCGTTCATTGACAGATGAAGAAACTGAGACCAGTGAGGCTCATTGACTGGTCCAAGAAGGTCACAGTGAAGGACGATGGCGCCGGTGAGACTCAGTACCCTTTGAGGCCAAGAGATTTATTAGAGCAGCGGCTACAGGGAGAGGGAAGGAGGTCTGTAACCGCCTGGCGGGAAAAGGGAGTGA